TTGATTTTTACCATTTTAAGCTATGTCGACTTAGACTTCTTTGCACGACCCCCCCCCCCTCCCTTGTGTGTTCAATGTCAGTAACTGCAGTTGTGTATTAGCTGACATGTCAGCTGAAATATTGTTACAGCTGAGAAACTATTGCTATCGTTTTGTTCTCCATACTTGGGATAAACGCTATGGCGTCGCTCTTACTTCCATTGTTTTGAACAGGGCAGCAACTCGTAAACTATGGGAAGAAACATATCCAATATGTCCATATAGGACATAAAAAGCAAGGGTATGCCATTCGAAACGGTTCCAATAGTGTTATAGTCGTAGAAAAATACGAGCCACAACTTCCGATTAAGATAAAACGGAGAGCCACAGAGAGACATAACGCGAGCGATCCAAATGTCTGTTACCGCCCGACATTTTTCCGCAATGTACTCTTATCCTTTACATGAAGTTGTTGCCTGTTCAAATGGTTATCTCAGGCCCAGCTCCGGCGGCCACGGCAGTCTACGAGTGCATACAGTCACACTGTTCTATTGATTAGAATAATGTATTTTTTTATTCGAAAATATCCTACTCGTTGTGCCACACTGTCTAAGTGGTTCATTGGTACGTAGCCGGGAATTAGCTACTAATTAAAATTATACCGGTCACCAACTAGGACTGACTATATGATATGATTTTCTCAACAGAATAACAATAACAGAGGACAACGGATTTGTTTACTTTTCTTAAAATGCCGGACCGCCATTAATAGCTGCAGTAACGAAAAACCGACGAAATGAGAAAGAAAGAAGCAAAGGTCGTGGCAAGGGAGTCTACGACTGGGCCAAATGGTGGGGTTGTTCAGTTAGTGAACCGGCTGCCCTTAAACAAACGGACGGCGTGCGGAAGTTAGCAACTGTACAATTCCGAAGTTCACTTCGCGAGAAGATAAAGAAAAACTAATTATTAAGACCGTTAGTGTGAAACTTATCTTATACGTTAAGCAGGGTCAGAGATTGTATCGTAGACTGGAGAATCCGATGGGAATCCGGTAGGCAAATGTGGTGTTTATTCAATTAACGCTTAGACGACAAAAACTGTGCTACGAAGATAGCTTCTTAGCTTAGATTTCATCAAGGGAATACCTAATTGGGTCGACAGGAACTGAAAAAACATATATATATATCAAAATTACTTTTCTTATAAAAATTGATTTTAGAAGAGAAAAGGCAGTGTGTTTTCCAACGTAGCCCCTAGTTGTTTTTAGCTAGCAGCTAAACAAATAGGCATCTCATCTAGCAAATCACGGAGTACCGTTTCCTTTTTTCCATATCAATGATTTTTCCCTAGTCAAAATAGCAGCGATTCCTGCTTCATCAAGCTCAATCTGATATGAGTTATTTTTTCCTAATACGCTGAAATTTCGTAAAATGAACACATGACTCTGTCACCACTGTATATCTGTTTCACACAACGAACAAACTAGCGAAGCGTGCAAAGTTTTCGTAACAGGGTCTTTCGCTTTGTATCAGCAATGTGTAGTATGATACGAAACTTTGTGTCGTTATCGCCGGAAAGGATTTGTGAAGTCTCTGTCCCTGTTGCTACATGCATTGACGTTGGAAAAACAGCCATGTCCCATAAGTTTTAGCAGAAATCCAATGATAACGGCCAGATGTATCTACTATGCCGGAGGCACTCTTTCCTTTCCCCTAGCGTCCCACTCTTCGCAAATATTATTGCTGAAAATGTCCTGGAAAGCTGGCTGGAGTCGGAAGGGTCGACTAACTGGGTATTCAATACTTCATATTTCAAAGTTTGTTTCGGACCCTTCATACACACACACACACACACACACACACACACACACACACACACACACACACACATACCATGAAGAAAAGCAGTATCTTTGATGATCGTATAGTCTAGGCTGCTTCGTCTGACAGAGGCAAAACCTTATACAATAAATTGTATTGTGCAAGTGCATCTCACGAGACGCAGTCGTACAATAAGGTTTATTATATCGTATTGTAAAACGAGACGTCTTTGCGGCTGTGCGGTGGAAAAGGCCCACGTTCCCTACATTCGCTTAAGCGTTTGAGCAGCTGAAAGGTAACTTTATGGTAACAAATTTTTGAAACACAACATACTGATAGCAGTAGATTCCAAAGCTTTCCATTTATATATATTTTTATATAAGAACAAATCTGTTCCTACGAGCTTAAGGATTTTGTGCTGTTATTGACAGTAACAGTGGAATAAAGTCGTCAAGCCTTGCTTAAGTTAACCAATTCAACTAGATTAATCTCCAATGCAAGCAGGTATTTTTCTACCCTTCAGAATTAACACTCTAAATCGGGACGCGATTAGTCATAATGTATGCAAAATGAAAATATCAAGGCACGTCTCTTCGGTTTACGCAGAGCACGATGCTCGTGCGATCGTGCATGATCAAGCTGCAAAGAAGCTCTACGATGCAGCCGTCATACTAGAGATAACGGGGAAAGTGACCGGGAGAAATCGAATGGGAAAACAAAATAGGTAGCAAAATCATTTCTGTGTGCTAAGGGGTACTCCGTAAAACGTGTGGACAGGATGATTCTCCGTCTTCGGTTTTGATCACTAATTTATCCTTAGTTGTTAAATCAACTATTGAACCACTAGATTTTACGATCTGTATTGTGCAATACTTAGTGTCAAAACGGTACAATCAGCAATTATAACAAATGCATTTACATCAACGTTTCTGCCTTAATTGAAGACAAGGTCGAGGTACGTCCACGTTCAGTATTGGGTAACGAGTGGCACAACTTCGGCAGTGGTTGAAGTTGGAACGAACTGTGCTCATAAAAAATACTGCTCATATCTCATATTCTGTACGCAATATTTGCGGGTAAAATTGCACATGTTCACAGTTGTTATATACCATCATGTCACTGACAAATAATATTTATCTAATTAAAAGTTGATTCGGATCACTAGATGTTCATTGCTCTCATAGTAACTAAACTAGAAATTGTTAGGTGCGTTTACTCGGCAAAATGCGAGAAAAAAGTCAAATAAAAAATTTTTTAGAGGCTATTTTGCAAAGACGGGATTGTAGTTATTACCTTCACACCCTACCATTGCTAATGGGGCATCAAAAACTTTAGCAGTTGTACTCAGTAGCGCAATTGATACTCCCATTCGTTTCTGCTGTTTTTTTGCAGCTGGTCACAGTATCGTGGCGTAATTCGCTTGAATCTTATTCAGTCCTAAAGTAACGACTATCACTTCCAGTTGTGTACGAACGTATTTGGCCTGAACCACAATAGATAATGGTGCCAAGAAGTAATCAAACCACCGAAAAACATCACGTCAGCCGCGTTCAGCCCCTATTCGGTACGCAGTCGCGTAGAACTCAACGGCAGCAACTATATCGAAAGAATAAGTGACACAAAGGAAATAAATCTGACGCTAGGCAACACGAGGATTCGGATGCTTCCTTCTTATTCATAACGCCGGCTTTGTCCCGCAAGAAAAGTAAGCGGGATTTCGTTCTCCCTTCTTTTCCTATAAACATATTTCATCCGCTCATCCACAAGCGGCTGCCTGATCCGGTTTGAAAGGGAAAATATCTATAAAACGCGAAAAATCGCTGGATCACGTGAAAATAGATATATCTTAGGAAAATGCTGGCACTTACAACAACATTATATATATATATATATATATAGCTGTATGTGTGTATATGCGTAGCGCGTACGTTTCGCGCGTGCCATGTTTGCAAAAAGACCGTAACAAAAATTAGCCTTTGGATAACGCCGTAAACAGAAACAAGTAATTTCGCGTCAATAGCATCAAACGTATTTGTTTTGATCATGAACGTCCATTAGCCTCTACGCGTAAAGGAGAAATTAATAGCACTTTTTGTCTCCGTCCAATTAGGTAACGATGGGGCATTTGACAAGCGCCGCTATTGACACCACAGCGTACCGGTTTCTATGCACACATATCACTTAACGCACATGTAGGATATAATGACTTCCTTATGAAGAAATAAGCATATACGCATTCTGAACCGCTATCAATCAAGATAAATTTGATAACAATTGACTGTGGCGTTGTTCTATTTGCTACCGTTTTTATCTTAGGTGTGCATATGTATGAGTGACCTCGTCACATAGTGATCGAAGGAAGTTCGATTGAAGTTTGGGTGCGAACTGATTACAGCTTAAGGCACTGTGCCCAGGTCGATGTGCGGTGATCTCATATGCCGAAAAAAAGGCGTGGGTCCTGCTCTATTTCAATTACACCCTCGCATATTAGACGCCTGTACTAATTATAGTATACTAACATGGATATGCTGCATGTGCCTGACGCAACGTTTATTATGTCAGTTCAATGGAAATTTGTCAAGGTTCTTTTCACCTTAGTTGGGTATTAACATAATAATAGTAATGTCAGATGCAAGATGAATTCGATTAAACCGGGTCAATTTAAGTCAATGCAAAGAGTTGTGTTCCGAAAGCTGCAAGTAATCTAAACGATGTACCTGTTACCCCATTTTTTTACGATAAGTTGATTATTTATGCATAGAAGTTTGACGTTGCACCTTGCAGGGGGCATTCTGTAATATATCTCTTAAAATGACATTAACGTCATCATTAGCGTTACCGGCTATTGAAAGCCTTATAGATTCGTAAAATAACGAACCTATCAATCCAATCCTCAACGCTCAAGATATAACTACACAGGGAAGGAATACCTGCCACAGCGGAACAGCATATAACGTGGGCGAAAAGGATCAGCGGCGAGCATCAATAAGCGATTTAAATCTGCCCACTTTAGTCCAAAAGAATGAATGTGAATATAGTATGATGCCTGTTGGGTAATGGCATAACTACGATTATATAGCTCGTAACGAGGCAATGCTTATACGTTAAATTTCTGTACATGAACTCAACTAAATAGCCTTAAGGACAGAAAGTTAGTAGTGTCAAAAATAATGGCCTAGGTTTGTCTACAAGAGCGCTTACCTCTGTTGAGTGAAATGCCAACTAATAGGACCAACGCACAATATTTTCCGAGCACCACAATATTCATCATGTCTGTGTTAACTGCCTTTATATGATCTACTTTTATAGAAATTTTTCCGTTTCACCCTTGCACTAGCACGTTACTCGCGGCTTTTTCATTTGTCTCCAGTCAGTCCGTAGTAAAAAAAAGGCTAGTTTCTCCACGATTCAACATGAAGTCTTTCGGAAGAGAGATCCTACTTCCATTCGTAGAAGGGCAGAATTGTCTCTGCTGTCGTTTTCCCACCTTCTACTTCATTAATGTCAAAAACGAAACTCCATGACAATGATACTGATAATTCACTGATTGATTCGTGTGTATTACTTCAATTGCTATATAATCAACAAGCAGTGTCCTTTTCCTCAATAACGGCACGCATAATTGCCACTGACTAGAAATGACGAACAAAAATCCTAGTTTTTCCGAATCGGGTTTCCACGGCGCGCCAAGACGCGTGTCTCGTCCAAAGAACGAGATCCTAAACACTGCGCGCCCTATGTCCTGACCCGGCGGTCCACGCCGTCCTGTTGTGGTTGTCCTGCTGCAGTCCCTCACCCTCCGCTCTCAACGATATATCCTCTCTCGAAATCCTTTCCACATTTTCTCCAGGGGTGTTACTGCTTAGTGTACTATTTGTGGGGCCCTGTGAATTGAGCTCGAGCTTGATGTGCACTGCGACCCTTATTACTACGAAATAACTGATACGAATAGGCGCATTGAAAATATTCTTTCGGCGCAGACTACACTCACAAACTAGTTGCGTTTTTATTGAAAAAATACAAACGGTAGATGTACAAAGAGGAATCGAGTTCTCTTTTTCTGGCAATGTACGAATGCAAAACATATATATCCCAAAGTTGAAACACTCAAAATTAAATAACATTTTCTAGCGGGAAAACCATGTTATTAGATGAAGAGCGGGTTTTAAGGTTACACAATGCCAACACCATATAATAGATGTGTTTCTTTAGGTCTGAAGTTTTATCGCAGCCTTAAATAGGGCATTTAAGACCAGAAAACGTAGGTTTTAGATGATTAAACGATAACAAGAGCTATTTAATTGAATTAGTTATTGCATATTTACAGTCGGTAAACGTAAGAGGAGCATCAGGTACATCGTGTATTGGAATGCCGTGTTGATGGCGTGCTTCCCATATACTCATAATGAATACTACTCGGTATCCATTTAAAGGTACAATTTTTGTATTTCTATAGGCACTAAGTAAAATACCTGGTACTAAGTTAACGTTTTTCTTTATTATTACACTTATTGTAGTAAATAAAGGCTGTCAACCGACTTTAGCTGAGTCTTTATTTTATTAAAGTTGACGTTCATAAAGTGCGCGGGTTAGAATAATTCGACTGAAATTCCTTTGTCAAGAGTGAGGAAATTGAATAACTTGACTTTATAAATCCAAACACGAAGCGATAACGTCGGCATGTGGATCGCTTGTCAAGCTGTTAATGTTCCCGTTACCCAATAGACGCCTCATGGTTTTCTCATGCATTCATGGTGGATACTACCAGGTTCATCGCACGTTTTCGAGCCAAAATTTAAACGCTACTTCAGACTTTGTTTAATCTAAGCTAAAGTTGTTTTTTTTTTAAAGTAAGTAATGAATGTTATAATATGCCGCCCTTGTCTACTGAGAGACGCCCTAATAATTTCGCCGTATGTGTTGTCTGCTGTCTATTAATTCGTATGCAGGCAGCGGGCTCCCATCTATTGCTTCTAGGGAAGCATCAACACCTTTTCTTTCGTAAGCGGGTTTTGTCTCTACAGATCAAGTAGGATCGGCTCGACGTCCGGATATATTGGTGGAATATATATAACACGTGTTAAACACACACGAATCGATGCCCATAAAGGCATATTTGACAACAATAACTAATACGTTTTCATGAACTACACGAAAAGGCCCTGTATACACATGCCCCCACTAGATATAGGCACATTAAAGGCACACTATCGTCTCAGACAAACACGTTTACCATGGCCGTTCGTAGGCGGCATAAATGCATAGGCCCATTGGGCGTAAAGAGACAGGACAGGGAATCAGACAAACAGAGCCGCTCACTACCGCACTACAAGCAATTTCTTTGCATTGCGTATTATTATTTTCCTAATGTATTTGCTATGGATGAAACTGCAATAAAAAAGTAACTGGTATCACTAATGTGTCGCTTTTGGTAAAACCGTCACGCTCAATATTGTATATGTGTTTGAAAAGACCGCTGGCACGCGGCCCGGCGAGACCCGATTTTGTCATTCGGGCACAACTATTTACGCTTAATTTTCTCAGTCGCTTCTCACGAAAAGGATAGATTGGCCTATTCGTTGAAAATTATCGTGCGGAAAGCAGGTACTCTACTGGAATGAGCTAAGCTTCAATAGATTCCACTGGGCATCTAGACACTCACTCATCCTGCCATTGGCCTAGTGGAATCGCTTAATCAATGCCACCGTCGCGCTCGCTGTGCTGCTGCAAGAACATATACAGAGGTAAAAAAGACGACGTGTGCCTATTCGTTACATCCATCAAAAGATCAAGATCAGTTATGGCTTACATGGTAGTTCCTTGTGATATATTGATATAAAGGTGTCGGGACAAATGCCTCTAAGACTGTTTGTTAAGGCGGGAGTAATCGTACATGGTTTTATGGGGATACTACGAGATGCATTAGTTGGTATTCAATAATTAACGACTACTGAAAGGGGTTGTTTCTAGACAGATGCGTTTTAAGAGTTCGGATTTAAGGAATCTAATTCCCTTGCTGGAATTTTCGAAACAGCACGTAGAAGTATATATAGAACCGTGCGTACAAATTTAGATGTGTCAGCGATGTGAGATACAAATACAAATACAGATAAGGAAAGTGTAGATTACCGGTTCGAAATCGTGCAATATTATGGCAGCAAAGGGCAACTGTATACGTTTGCCGAGATCAACGAAAACGCTTGAAGTATTACGTGGTGCGATGTCCTTTTGAATTCTAAGGATGCTCTATTTTTAGTAGTTGTCGTCGTCTTTGCTGTTTATTTGGCGGTGTTTGTGAAAACAAGTTTTGTTTGTACGTTTAGCCTAACTTATTTTAACAAACTTGACTATGGCAGCTAAAGCCTGATTTCATTAAAATGGCTTACAGTGAATGAAGATATCATCAAAGCTAGTCGTTAGGATCGTCGTGCTTCTTTCAAGTAACAGCAATAGTAATGGGAATTTTTTTAACATACCTACTTGTGGCTGGGAAAATGCATTACTCCAGTAATGCATTTTCCCAGCCACAAGAACAAATATGCTTCATAAGCCTTCATTATATGCGTAAATGTGTCTTTTATTGCTCTTATAGTGCTCGGTACTAATTAAAGAAAGTAACTATACTCGTAAAGGGACTCACCTCCATGTAGATATACGTATGAGGTACATCAATGAAGACAAATTTAAGTTAAATCTGTGCTAACTTTATTTGCTTCTAGAAGTTAACTGTATAAATTCGTTTACCTTAAATAAGAAAAGAACATCTTTTATGATCTCAGCTGTTTTATTTAATGCGAGGAAAAAACACGAAGATAAGCTAGAACAAAATTTAGCTAGAACAGAGCCAGAATTAACAGACCAATCGCAAGAAGAGAAATAAATGGCGCTTTTGCAAGACCTGTAGATTTCCTCTGCCAAAATTGACGTTATCGTTATCTTTCAAAGGTCTTATTTTCACATACTTCGCACATATATATTTCCAATTAGGGATGCATGTAAGAGTTACAAGCCATATTGATAGTTTAAAACTACCGAAAATAATCAAAATTTCACTCAATCCAATCAAGGTTCTAGTTTCTAAACGTCCAATAGTAAAAATCTTGCATGATAATACGGTGTGCTAGTTAAGTGGGCACAAGGATAGGGGCTAAATTGGACGCATACAACGATTTCACATGCTATACACCCAAAAAAAAGTCTCAGGACTATTCAATCCATTATGAGAAGCAATTAAAGTATGACAGTATACATTTGGCTGTATGGTCGCGTCTAAACCTGATATTCTCACCGGCTGGGCGCTTTTCTGAAGAAAGGAATATTGAACCATGACGATAGGTATAAAACATATCTCTCCAACCTGTAACCTAGCATTGCAATGCATCACGCAATCCGGTTGTACATTCAATTGTAAAAAAGCTAGGCGCGTATCAGCAATCTACATGTTTTTAGGCAAATGTTGAAGCCTAATCATATTTGTGCATCTTCATTCAACACGATGCGGCACAATTAACAAAGCGACTGCATCGTAATCAATGGATCTTAAGTGACCAAATGGGGACGTATTAATATATGTTTTTGCATGACGTATCGCAAATTCTACCATGTCACGAGCATAACTCGACATTTGTTGGATTGTAGTATGTTCTTTTTGAATAAACAAGCTTCGCGTGTTTATATATGTTCTAAACGTTTGGCTTTTCATGTACTTCCGACGAAGGCAAGCTTCTGCCCACAATCATCGTTCTACCATGGGCCACCGACGCTCGATCAACTGTTCGGCGTCACCGCTGCCAGGTCGCGTCAGACCGCTTTTGTTGCAGGTCTCAGTGGACCTTAGTCGTCCTAATGGGACATGGGGGGGCGCCGTCCTTTTCTTCTTGGACGTCTCTCCGAGCCCAGAGGATTACAGCAATTTGTGCCTTCTACTGTGTCTGCTTTTGCGGCTACTAGCGCGGCTGCCGGTGCGGCCAGTTGCGAAGTGAAGTGCACCGTTGGGAATTGATGAGGACCCGGGCGAAAGAAAGCTTCCGAATTGACTGTCGGCAGGTTAGCCTCGTCGAACGACGAAAAATAACGTAAAAACACGACGAGATAGGGAAGAAAAACGGAACAGAGAAACAAATATATGAAGGAAGGAAAATAAATCAAACAGTGAATAGCAGCTGTCACGGATGGGAATAGAGTGAATAATAGAGGCTGAGGGGATGAGGCTCAACGGACTCGAAAAGCTTCCAGCTTTGAGTAAATGAATAACAACAACAGTACATGGCAAAGTCGAAATTTAACATATAAAAACAAAAAACCGCGGAAAAATGCCGCCATCTTTCACACCGATGCAAGTTTACGTATAGGTATCGCTGCTACGTGCTTCAAGTTGGTTATAAAGAGATAGTTTCATGCAGATTTAGGCCGCATGAATAGCGGAAATTCATTGAGCATAAACGGGGATTCGAAAGGGGCTGAAAGGGGAGCATAGGTGCTTTGCTTTGTGAAATTTACCTGGATTGTCTCAGGTTGATGAGGCCCGTTAACATCGTCTAATTTCTTTATGTCGGTAAAGAAATTCCTGCCTAGCCTTTTGAATTAAGGGATATTGTACCTATGGTAAACACTGCGTCCATAGAGGACGCTATTATGAGCATCAGCCAACTTGGTGATTTTAACAGTTTTACGCTGG